AATGAAAGAGGACACTTTCACCCCCACCAATTTTCTTTGGCATAGCCAACTTTGTTGCCCCGGCAGGTCCCACCGCTTGCATGATGGCACTTCAACACTTCCAGGGCAACATGGCATGAGTGCAAATGCTTGTTTCTGGAAGGGTGCAGGTCACTTGGGAGCTCTACCAACCTGTCCCCTTCCAGAAACAATTGTTTCTACGCATTTCAGGGATTGCCTGAGGAAGAAATATTTCTCCCTTCTGCAAGCAGTGGCTCCCACTGAACCATGAAGCCAGCAGGACTTGTGCAACAGAATCAGCAAATTGAAAAGAATTGGATACCCTGTTGAATATTTCCCCATATTGCAGAAAAGTATATTGTCAGCAGCGCAAAGGAATCAGGCAAACTCTGCAGTAACCATTATAGAAATATCTATATCTAATTATTTGCATTGCTCAAATGCATTCAATGGGTTTTAGCCTCAAGTAAATGTACATAAAATCAGTTCCTAACAGCACAACCCTATGCATGCCTATTCAAGAATAGGTTCCACTAAACTCAAAGGGGTTTACAACCTACTTGAATGTCATTTTAGGGTCGTAAAAAATATATTTAACATTTAAAACTATTTTGAAGATTTCATTAAATCACAAGGCTGTATCCAGTAGTTTAAGTTTAGTGCTAGACATTAAAACAAGGAATGTTGGCTAGATAACACAGAGTAGAGCCAGAAAAAACAGACCTAAGTTGATCAACTGTAGAGCCTGAAAAACTCCATTTACACGGTGCCCATAACCACAGAATTTATAAAACCAGATTTCATATTTCATCCAACAGAAAGTAAATTGCCAAAGATGCCTACAAAAGTACTGAACTGAGGGTTATTTTCTTTTAAGAGTAATGTCTTTTATTATTAATTTTATTGGAAGACTTTACCTTGCCCTCTAGTACTCCCACTTCCAATATGTGTAATATGGATAAAGTATCAAACCTGAACCAGAGACCCCATGTTCAAATCAACCACAAACCTCACTGGATGACTACAGATCCATCATAAGTCATCTCTTTCTAATGTGAGATTTTAGTGAGGATTAAATAGGTTCCCCACTCCTGCCAGAAGCTCAGTGCGGTTCCAGAAGTTTTCATCTGTGTAGCTTTTATATTCTTACAT